ATCATGGTCCACGTGTCCTGTGTGTACAGCTCTCCCAGGGAGTCCTCCATCGTCTAGGTGGACGCAGGATCACCAAGCGGCACGTTACCGCTGAGCCTCCATGACGGCTGCGCCTACTGCGGCATTTGAGCAGGAGAGGCATGAGCTGACCTCTGGTATCAAAGGCCGCATACTCTGGCTGACATGTTCAGAATAGAAGGTGGTGAACAGATATAGCGCTCGGAAACCTGATAGGGACTATTGCAGCAACCTGGGTGAGCAGTGACGGCCGCGTGGACTTGGTGGTGGCCGTAGACTGATGAGAAGCAGTTTTATTCTGGATTGGCTGAGGGTTTGATAGGGTGTAAGAGAAAGAATGTTTCTTAGGTTTTACTTCTTTTTTTAGGTCTAAGCTACATGCTTACACACATATTATAATTCATCACATTGTGTTATAGTTTTTCTTCATCTTTCTTGCCTTTTTAGAGAGATTTTTGCTATTGGGCCTGTGCACTCTCCAGAGAGACAGAAAGTGAGAAATCATTCCCCAGGAGGGATATGCCACGCTGCAATCCCTCTCCTCCATTCTCCTCTCGGGATCTTAGGCACGCACATAAATGTGCCTGGTGTGAGTTTTTTTGTTTGTTTGTTTTTTAGAGGTTTTTACTATAGAGCATGTGCACTCGCCAGAAAGACAGAGAGATAGAAAGGGAGAAATCACCCCCCGGGGGAATGGCCATGCCGCAATCCCTTCTCCTCCATTCTCCTCTCAGGATCTTGGGCACACACGCACATGTGCCTGGCGTAAGTTTAAGCCACCGGATCCGGGACTCGAACTGTGGCTGGCTATATGGGAGTTCAGCGACATAGCCATTATGCTAACTGCTGGTCCCTGCCTGGTGTGAGTTTTAAGTTGCTAGGTTCAGGACTAAACAGTGGCCAACTATGTGAGAGTCCAGCAATGTAACCATTATGCCATTTGCTGGTCCCCAAAATGGTTTATTCTAAGCATTAGTGTGAGTGACTGAGGCCGAGAAACATAGTCCCCGGTATCCCCAACAAAGTGTTTGAAAGTGCTTAGATGCAATGGCTCTTTTATTCATTTCTAAAAGCCTGAGATACCAACAAAATTGTGAATTAGCATGTGGGGACCATTACATCGGACTGTAATGTCCATTCCCAAAAGGGCAGAATATCTAAAAGTGGGGGCTTACAGGTTACAGATACGTTCAGATATTCTTAGGTTAGTAATTGGTTAAAAGCACAAGTCGTTATCTCCGAACGACTCAGAGTCAGCAGGATTTTTTAAGGATGCCTGAGTTTTTCTGTTTTGTTTTGTTTGTTTTTTAAGAGAGATTTTTGGTATAGGCCACGTGCATTCTCTGGAGAGAGAAAAAGAGAGAAATCACCCGTCTAGTGGGGATGGCTACACAGCAATTCCTTCTCCTCCATTCTCATCTCAGGATTTTGGGCACGCACGCACACATGCCTGGCGTGAGTTTCAAGCTGCTGGTCCAGGACTCGAACTGTGTGGAAGTCCAGAGACATAGCTATTATGCCATCTGCTGGTCCAAGAATGCCTGAGTTTAAGAGCGATCAGACGGTTCTACCATGTAGTGCATAATGTTATGCCAGGATTGGGATGACATCCCACAATCACAGGGCCAAAGTGGTCTGTGACAGCAAGAATGCTACTTGTTATAACTCCCAGGCTCCTTGGGAAAAAAATCTTTTTTTTTTTTTCTTTTCCCTTTCCTTTCTTTTTCTCTTTTCTTTTTCTTTTTCTTTTTCTCTTGAGAGATTTTTGCAATAGGGCGTGTGTGGTCGCTGGAGAGACAGAGAGAAAGAAAGCAAGAAATCACCCCCTGGTGGTGGTTGGGGGGTGGGGTGGGAATGGTCACACTGCAATCCCTTCTCTGTTCTCCTCTGGAGATTTTAGGGATGAACGCACATGTGCCGGGCATGAGTTTCAATCCTCTGGGTCTGGAACTCAAACTGGGGTCAACCACATGGGAGTTCAGTGCCTTAACCACTACTCCACCTGCTGGCCCTAGAAAGAATCTTAAAATAGGCAGATTAGTCAGAAATCTGTCCTCACAACCTGCTATTTGTGAATGGTATCTGAATTCTTGTGGAACTTATCTTGGAAAAGATAGGGTCGGAATTGAACTACATTAGAAGACACCCACCTGGTAGCGTGCAGAATTGCTCAGTACGTAGGAAAGCCTCTCCCATATCTGGAATTGGAGGTACTGATTATTATTTGGTGACCAGAGGTGGTCTGTAGGGGATTGCCCGCATATCTTACACTGTGTAACACATCACCACAAGCACAGTGATTTAAAGCGACACATTCATTGTCTCACACGATGGGTCAGAAGTCAGGCACAGTTTACCTAGGTCTGCTGTCAGGGTCTCAGAAGGCTGAGGGCAGGGTGCATATCTGGAGGCTGGAACAGGGAAGCATCTGCTCCCATGTTCATGTGTGTTGTCACGGAGTACACTTCCTTCTGGTCATACCTGCACTGAAGGCTCCAGCCCTTTGCTGACCATTGGCTGGCATCCTCCTGCCATTCCTAGAGGCTGCCTGAAGTTCTCTGCTACTTGAGCTTCTCCGACATGTCCACTGAGGTCACCCATTTGAAAGGAGAGTTTTCAGTTGTGAGGAAGTTTTGTACAGCATAAATAATCCCAGGAGCGACACCCAATACCTTTGCTTTATACTATTTCTAATTAGAAGCAAGTGGCAGTTTCTAGCCACCCACAAAGGGAGGGAGACCAGCTCCATGGCACCGAGGTAGTGCACTGCCCAAGAGAAGCCAGATTCTACATGGCAGCTGAAACCCCAGCCAGGTCAGCCTGAAACACCCAGCCACACAACACAACACCCAAGATCTGATTCAGTAGCAAACACTTGTCTCTCTCTCTCTCTCCTCTCTATCTTGAATTTAAAAGGGAGGTGGGGAAGGAGAAGGGAATTACACAAAGACCTGAACACCAGGAGGTAGAAATCATTGTGGGTCACAATGACTTTCATCATTAGAAATTTGTATATGGGAACCAGCAGTTAGCATAATGGCTATGTCGCTCGACTCCCACGTAGTCGACCCCGGTTTGCGTCCCGGACCCGGTGGCTTAAAACTCATGCCGGGCGCATGTGCGTGCATGCCCAAGATCCTGAGAGGAGAATGGAGGAGAAGGGATTGCTGTGTGACCATCCCCCCTGGGGGGTGATTTCTCTCTTTCTGTCTCTATGTCTCTCTCTGTCTGGCGAGCACACGTGCCTTGTAGCAAAAACCTCTCCAAAAAAAAAAAAAAGAAATTTGTATATGTATATGTATATGTGTGTGTGTGTGTGTGTGTGGTGTTCCCTATCCCAACAATCCTGACCTCTGTTGGTTTTGGCTTAGCATGATCCCCCAGACCTGTGCAGTCCAATATGCTAGTTTGACTGAAGAACTGAATTTTTAATTTTCAAAAAGTATTAGTGGGGCGGGAACAGCAGTTAGCGTAATGGCTATGTCGCTGGACTCCCATGTAGTTGACCATGGTTCATGTCCTGGACCCGGTGGCTTAAAACTCACGCCGGGCGCGTGTGCGTGCATGCCCAAGATCCCGAGAGGAGAATGGAAGAGAAGGGATTGCAGCGTGACCATCCCCCCGGGGGGTGATTTCTCGCTTCCTGTCTCTCTGTCTCTCTCTGTCTGTCTGGCGAACACACGCGCCTTATAGCAAAAAGCTCTCCAAAAAAAAAAAAAAAAGTATTAGTGGGGCCAGCCCTGTAATCGAGAGATTAAGGGAGCCAGATCTCACAGGGAGGACCATGGTTCAAATCCCAACCCCAGCAGCTTGAAAAATATGCCAGACATCATGCCCCAAACCATGATGGAGAGACGAAGGAGAAGGGATTGCAGCATGACTACACCCCATTGGGGGGTGTTTTCACACATGCTCTAGCTCTCTGTCTCTCACACGAGTGCATAGTCCCTCTGGCAATAAAAAGTAAGTTTCAAGCCTCTGGGTGGGGACTTGAACTGCAGTCAGCTATGTAGGAGTCTAGCACCTTAACCACTACACCACTGGCTGCAACTACCCCTCCTCCTTCACATAATGTAAATTCAATTCACTTATTAGAACTTTTCTTGGGGGGAAGAGAGAGATTTTTGCTATACGGTGTGTGCACTCACCAGAGACAGAAGCAAGAAATCACCCCTCAAGGGGAATGGGCATCCTGAAATCCCTTCTCCTCCATTCTCCTCCTGGGATCTTGGGCAACCATGCACACACACTCAGCATGAGCTTCAAGCCTCTGGGTCTGGAACTCACTGCACTTGGTCATATGGGAGTCCAATGCCTTAACCATTACGCCACCTGCTGGCCTCTGCTGGCCCCCCATTGGAACTTTTTTTTTTTTTTTAACGTGTGTTTGGAATAACTTGGGTATATGAATCTACTTCTCAGCTGTAAGTTTCATGGAATTTGAATGCTGATCAAGTCTCCACTCCAAGTCCAATCTTTATTTTTTCAAGAATTATTCACTTAATTTTATTTACTGTTATTATTATAATTCGAGAGAGAGAGAGAGAGAGAGAGAGAGAGAGAGAGAGAGAGAGAGAGAGAGGAAAATGTCAGAGCGAGTAGCCAGGTCGGGGACTCAAACCCGCAGTCTGCCATGATGGAATCCAGTGCCTTAACCACCATGCCACTGTCTGGCTACCAAAATCCAGTGTTCAAATTGATATGTGCTGTTTACTGTAAAATACATACCACATTTCAAAGATTTAGTACAACAATAATAAAATACGTCATTAAAGATTTAAAAACTGATTATGTGTTGAAACAATATTGCCCCTTAAGTAGCTTATTGAGATAAGTGAAATATACTAAGAAAATTTCCACGTTTCTATTTGTTTAAAAAAAAAAAAAGTTGCCAGAAAGTTTATAAAGTTAGACATGCTATTTACATTGCGTTGTCATGAGAAAACATAGAGGTGTTGAGCTTATGGTCGCGCTGGCAAGACATGCCACCAACGTTAGTCACTAATGGCAGGCAATATCGGATCAATATTCAGACAGTCACTGTGAGGTTCAGGGGAGGGGAAGATAGGTCCACCCTAAGCCTGAGAACGTCTGAGGGGGCAGGTGGGCGGGACCTATCCGCCCTCGCTTCCTCCGGGCCCCGCGCCCCGCCCGAGAACGCGCTGCGCCGCTTGACCCCGCCGCTACGCCGTAGGCCGGGCTGCGCGCTCAGCCGTCGCGATGGCGGACGTGTCCGAGAGGACGCTGCAGGTGTCCGTGTTGGTGGCCTTCGCCTCGGGAGTGCTCGTGGGCTGGCAGGCGAATCGGCTGCGTAGGCGCTACCTGGACTGGAGGAAGAAGAGGCTGCAGGACAAGCTGGCGGTGACGCAGAAGAAGCTGGACCTGGCCTGAGACCGCAGACCCCACGCGGCCACCTCGCCTCGCCATGTCAGCGGGAGCGCCGGCCTGCGAGCCGGAGTCGGGGCCGGTCCACACTCCCCTGGCGAGCCGGGCTCTCCCCGGTGTCGCTGAGAGGTACGCTTAGTGGCACATGCAGGGAGACTTTGGGGTCGAGCGAGTATCTGGAGGCAGCTCGCAGGAGGCGACTTGCTCGCCTGGTCACCAAAAAAAAAGGACACTTTGTTTTTCTTAATAACTGGCTCTTTGCCGCCGGAGTTTAGCTCACTAAGGGTGTTGAAGAGGGAACATCTTACCACGTGCAATGTCGTTGCACCCGAAGAACATTAACCTTCAAAATGGAGAATATTAGAGAGGAGAAGAGGACGGACAGGGTGGGGGGATCTATGTCAGGGGTGGGGGCCTTGCCCACTTTTAAGCGGGACCTTATTATTTACAATCAAATTCTTGATTACACTATAGTACCCGTTCAGGTTCAGGTTTTGTAAACTCCAACCTGAATTCCTGGGTTGGCAGCCTGGTAAGTTGGAAAGAGCTGGAAATCGGGAGCCTTGCATTTTCATCAGAACTGTGCATCTTGCTTTTCTTGTCTGTAACACCAGATATTATAGTTCGTAGTTTAACACTGTAGTACTATAATAGGAAGCTACAGATTACTCATTTCTAATACCATTTTTGTTTTCTGTTCCCAGCAGCTTGTCGAGGATGGATGTTAAGCACTGAAGTTCTTCTTGCACCTTATTGATTAGTTTTATTTTTAAAATAAAAAAGTAAAACATTGAACTTCTTCTAAAGGGAAAAGAGTATCTTGTCTACGATGAAGTTTACTGCATGTCAAGAGATCTGGACTCTTAAAGCTGGTACATAGTCTTAGTGTATTTGAGCAAATACCTTCTTGGGGAATCTGTGTCATTTCCTGGATACAACTGCAAATCAGATTTGGCCAAGGGCTATTATGGGTCCTTTTTACTTGACCTGCTAGGAAAGCAAGGGGCTGTGTAAAAGTAATTGAGGTTAAGGGTAATGTGTGAAAGATGTCTACGCTTCTGAGAGTGACACTGTACTCCATGTACAGCGTAAAGTTGTTATTGGCAAAAGTCTCATTTATGTGTCATGAGAATACATATGTGACAGAGAAACTTTCCTGAATAGAGTGCAGTGATACATCTCAATTTTACCTGAAACTCAAGGCGAGTGACCATGTCCCTGTTCTTTTTTTTAAGCGTTATTTATCCAAATTTATTTATTTATTATTATTAAATTTGACCAGAGATAGACAGAGATAGAGAGAATGAGAAAGGGAGAATGAGAGTGAGAAAGCAAGCTTCCAGGTCCAGGACCTGAATCAGGGTCAGCCATGTAGGAGTCCAGCACCTTAACCACCACACCACCTGCTGGACCCATCCCTGGTTGTTTTTGATTTGTAGGGAGGTGTTTTCTAGAATACTGCCCTTGTTCATTCTCATGACTCATTTCTCAGTTCCATTTATAAAAAATTCAGAGAATTTTTTTCATAGATAATACTTCTTTCCCCCTATTTTACTGGGGCCCTTATGCCTTATTACTTCCTACTTGTTTTCATTTTGTGGATACAGTACTCAAGGACAGGCGTGTTGGTTCTTAGAGCTCCATCCTATCTAGCCTGTAGTTTGCTGAAGCTTCCTAGTTATTGTCCCTCCCTGAGACCCAGAGTTTTGAATCATTGATGTCTGGCTTTTTCTGAGGCTCCGCACCCCCAGTATATTTGATGATGCTACTTTTTCCCTTAAAATTCTCCTTCCTTGGCTTCTCTAATAACACAGAAGTTTACCGAGTTTCCAGATCTTTAATGCTGATGCTTTTCTCAAGTTCAGTGAACTTAGCCCGCAGTCCTCTGCTCTGTCCTTTCCTGCGACTACCCCAGCCATGCACCCAGTGTGTTTCTCAAGCTGCTGGGTCCAGGACTCGAACTGCACAGTTGGCCATGTAGGATCCAGCCGCCTTAACCTCCACACCATGGGCGGGCCTGTTGAGTGAACATATTCAGTGGATGACATTACTCTGGACCTCAACCCCAGTAATCCTCGATCCAGCAGGCCTCACTCTTGTGTAGTCGTTGGCACAGTTTCACATTTCTAGCCTGTCACCCGAGCTCATAAGCTCTTTGAAAGCAGTGTTAAATATGTAGTATGGAACCAGGCAGTGTCTTGCACCAGGGTGCTCATAAATATTTGTCATTTTTATCTGAAATGGAGTGTTTTCCTTCCTCCTAAGACCCTGAAACAGAAAACAATCTCTTTGCCATAATCAGCTCTCAGTAGGTTCTGAATCACTTTGTTTTACTAGTTCTATACCATAAGTGTCTTGGGAGCCCTTACATTCTTTTTCAGTGTCTCCTGTGAGGAAGCAGTACCAGGCTGATACTCATTTTTTTAAAAAACAATTATTTTTTATTATTTTAAAATTTTGACCAGACAGAGAGAGAAAGGGAAAGCGAGAGAACAAGCCACCAGGTCTGGGACTCAAACTACGGCTGGCCTTGTAGGAATCCAGTGCCGTTAATCACCATGCCACCTGCTGGCCCTGACTGATACTCATTTTAACACACTCTATGAGGAAATGATAAGCTTTATGAAATAGCTTGTTTTCAGGAGAAACTTTGGCTGTGGTTTGGCTTTTTTTTCCCCCTACTTTGTTGCAAATCTTTCTCAATTTAGGTTACTTTGATTTTTCTTAATGACATGAAGGGATGACAAAAGTGATGACTAGTGTTAAGGTGCCTGTCCTGAGTGTTCATAGAAGTTGAAAGAAACACAGGTTAATGACAGGAGGCAGCTGAATACTCTCACTCCTCCTAACACAGCAAGTACCCAGGTGGGACTCCTCAAAATTGAATGTGCACAGGAAACGCTGGGGTACCTTGAAATACAGATTCTGGTTTTCTAGGTCCGGAGGTGGGGCCAGAGAGTATGTATTTCTAGCAGTCTCCCAGGTGGTAGTGGTGATGCTGATCCAGGAATCACAAGTAATAAATATTTGTAACTAAAACAGTATCATACAGAAATGTGTAGTCAGTGACATCTCTCCACTGGAGGTGAATAAGAATAATAAACAATTTTTTGCACCCTTCCTCTTTACCAGAATAGATTGAAATATATTCATCTTGTAACTTAGCCACTTTAAAATGTGGAGATCCTGCAGCCAGCAGGTGGCGTGGTGGTTAAGGTGCTAGATTCCCCCGTGGACCAGGTGGCTTGAAAATCACCCTGGGTGTGTGTGAGTTCATACCCAAAGTCCCAAGAGGAGAATGGAGAAGGGATTGTGATGTGGCCATTCCCCTGGGGGTGGTTTCTTACCTCCCCTTTCTCTTTTCCTCCCTGGTGAGTGCACACACCCTATGGCTAAATCTAAAAGTAGAAATAAAATGTAGAGATCTCTATAAAACAGGTACAGAATACTTCTTTCCTAGTGTGTTTATAGAAATACATTTAATTTGAATGAATTCATAAATTATATTTAGGTCAGCTCTTTCTTTTTTGCTTACTTCTTATGAGATTACACCTAAGTAGTGATTATTTTTTTGTAGAGATTTTTGCCTTAAGGCACATGTACTTGCCAGGGGGATAGAGAGAGTGGGAGGGAAAGTGAAAAGTCACCCCCTAGGGAGGATGGCCATGCCGTAGTCCCTCTCCGTTCTCCTCCTGGGATCTCGGGCATGCACGCACACGTGACTGGTGTGAGTTTCAAGCCATGGGATCTAGGAATTGAACCATGGTTGACCATGTGGGAGTCCAGCAATGTAACTGCTTAGCCATCTGCTGTCCCCAGTAGGGATTCATTAATCCATTTTAAACTATTTTGTAACATTCATTATTTTCTCTGTTGTTGCAAACTTTTTTCTTTTTTAATGAGAGAGTGCTTGCATAGGTGAGAGTGAGAGAAGCACTCCCCAATGGGGCCTGGTCATAACTCAGTCCTTTTTCTTCGAGTTCTCCGTTCCATCAGGATCCTGGGTACACGTGTATGTGTGTATACGTCATGTGTTTTTCAAACTCCTAGGGTCAGGACTTAAACCCTGGTTGACCACATGAGATCTGGCTTCCTCTCACAACATTTAACCACTGCACTATAGGGCTGGCACTGTTGTAGACAATTTTTTTTAATGGAAATACTGTGTCTGGCTATTTAAGGGCATTTTAGGTATTGTGAGTCACAGTAGAAAATTTGAAAATAAAAACGAGCTATTGCCAGGAAGTGATATGGTGGTTAAGGCACTGGACGCCCATGTGGCAGACTGTGGTTTGAGTCCCAGACCTCATGGCTTGCTCTCTTACTTTCTTTCTCTGTCTGTCTGTTTCTGGTAAGCACATGTGCCCTGTAGCAAATTAAAAATAATAAAATTAATTATTAAAAAAAAAAACCACCGAGCCACAACAAAACAGACAATATCAAGTGCTATCAAAGATGTGCAGAACAAAATCCCATGCTGATAGAGTGTAAATGAGTACAAGCACTTTGGGAAACCAGGTGGCACGCGCTAACGCTGAACAGTAAAACGGCTTTGTGTACACGTTTACCCAAAGACAAACCAAAGGATCTTCATTAAATTCATGAAAAACTGCCTGAGTTTCAAATTTTTTTTGCAATAAAAAATAAAATCATACTTGAACTCCATTTTCCATGAATTATTCTCATATTTATACTAGCATTAAGCTGCAAACTACCCTGATGCCCAGCAACAGGATGAATGAGTTTATTAGTGTGTATTATACAATGAAATACCAGAAAACGAGCATAAACAAACCACAGTCCTGCGCAGTATAGATGAATCTCAGATGTTGAAAGGACACAAGAAGACAGTACACACATGATTTCATTCTCCAGTAAAAGGCAAAGTAAGTTTGTGCTTTAGGCTAGTGTTTTGGTAGGAGGGTGAGGATAGGTAGGAACTGGAAGAGAAGACAGTAGCATGCAAGTCAAGTTTCTTAATCTAGGTACTGTTAAATGGTGCATTCAGAGTGAAAATTCAGTGAGCAACACACTTAGATTTTGTGCACTTTTCTCTATAGTATACTTGAAAAAGTGACAATTCAACCTGACCTGTTGGAATAAACCTGTGTGTTGCACTGACAATTACACATATGTGGTCTGTCATTTGAAAGATGAACACAGATCATTATTTTTGTTCAAGTCAGTTTTTGGTGTGCTGGAGTTTGGGATTGGATTTACGGGGTGCAGACCTTTTTGGGTGGATTTAAATTGGGGATCATATAAGAACTCATTCATGAACTTGGCATAAAACAATCACAGGATCCTCAAAATTCAGGATGGATAACATCCAAAATTAGAACGAAATGAGACTTCGGCAAATTAAATGGCCTTTGAAAGTCACGGTATGCAACAGAACCATGCATCCTATGAGGGCCACATAGAAAAGTTACCTAGTTGAGAGTTTGAAAGGCTCTCATTTTAAGATCTGCCTAGCAAAACCTGTATCAGAAAAGGAATGCCATGGGACCAGCAGTTGGCATAATGGCTATGTCACTGCGATCACGGTTTGAGTCCTGGACCCAGTGGCTTAAACTGACGACGGACGCGTGTGCGTGCGTGCCTAAGGTCCCGAGAGGAGAATGGAGGAGGAGGGATTGCGGCGTGGCCATTCCCTCTAGGGGGTGATTTCTCGCTTTCTGTCTTTATGGCGACTATACGCGCCCTATAGCAAAAAAACCTGTTCAAAAAAAAAAAAGGAAAGGAATGCTACGAAACAGTACCAGCAGGAACGCCGTGGCAGTATTGCAGTACTGTGGGGCGTTCCCCCAGCCGTGGGGGTAGGCGGCCCGGCTGGGTGGCACCCGAGGACGGCCTCCGCACGCTTTCCTCGCCACGCAAGGCTGGCCGGGCGCGCCGAGATGGCGTCACCTTCCGGCGCCGCGCCTTGGTTTCCCTGGCGACCGGCGCGCGCCCCGCGCCTAGGCAAAGAGATGCTGGCCAGGAGGTCGCGGGATCCGCTGCAGAACCTGCGGCGTTGCAATCAGGACCTGAAGCAACAGGTGCGGTCAGGCTGTGCCGCGAGGGGCCGGGGTCTGGGCCGGGTGAGGGGCCGGGCCGCAGCGGGGAGCGGCGGGGCGCAGCTGTGCGCACGGCGCCGTCGTCGCTCTCTCCCACCTCGCTCCTTCAGTCCCGAGCTGTCACGCCCTCCCTCCGCTGCACCCCAGCGCCGAGCTCCGCGTGCCCCACGGCCGTGCTGCAGGCGACCGCGAAACCTCCGAAAACCACGACCGCCGGCTCAGCTCCCTCCGCTCACCCCGCGCCCGCGTCCCAACCTCTCACCACGTAACCGAGCTCCTAACCCACCGCGTCGCCCAGCCTAAACTTCGGCCGCAGCCGGGCCCGCCGCAGCCCTAGGCCGACGCCCCTCCTCCCGCTCCACGCCTTCTTCACTGCGTTTTCTCGCCGCCGCCGGGTGTTGCGCTCCCACCCACTGGAGCGAAAGTGGGGCGCGGAAGTCTTACTCTGTAAGCACATGAGATCCGACCTCTATAAGTATATAGAAGAGTACAGTCAATGTAGCATGTGCCTGACATGGCACATGCTTGGCAGGCTGAGGTTGCATGGGAGGCTGGATTCAATTCCCCATCCTGCTTAAGTGCAGCAGCACATGCCTGTAACCCCAGCTACTGGGGAAAAGGAGACAGGAAGATTGTGACAGTGAAACTCTCTGCAAAACAAAAACATTCTAAATAAATATTAAAAGTACAAAAGATTTGGCAGATAAATAAGTGAATCTATATTGAATCATAGCAGTGCATCAAAAGCAAAATGCTTTGATAGAAATAAAAGTAAAACTTGACGGAGTGTGTGTGCATGTCTGAAATCCCAGTCACGGAGAAATGGAGACGTGACCATGTCCCATTGGGGGATATTTTCTCTCTCTTCCTCTCTCTGCCTTTCCGGTGAATATGCACACCTGGCAAAATTTTAAAAAAGAAAGTTCAGCAAATGCACATTTCTAATTTATGCATTTCATTGTATGTAAATTTTCTTTCAAATATTAAACTCTGATTAGTAATACTCATAGGGCATTATTTAGAGGCAAATGTATTGATTACAGAATTTACTTTAAAACACATTTTTAAAAAGATCCAATATAGGGACCAGGAGTTAGTGTAATGACTATGTCGCTGGACTCCCATGTAGTTAGTTGCAGTTCACGTCCCAGACCCAGTGGTTTAAACTCATGCCGGCGCATGTGCGTGCGTGCCCAAGATCCCGAGAAGAGAATGAAGGAGAAGGGATTGCGACTTGGCCATCCCCACTACCCCCTCCCACCCCTCACCGGATGATTTCTCGCTTTCTGTCTGTTTGTCTTTCTGACGAGTGCATGCACCCTATTGCAAAAACCTCTCAAAAAAAAAAAAAAAAAGGTGTGTGTGTGTATATATAGTAGAATGTTAATGGTAGAATGTAGATGGTGTATATATGGCTATTCACCGTAAAATTCTTTCAGCCTTAGTGTATGTTTTAAAGTGTTCATTGTAAAATCTTGGGGACAAAAGAGGAGTAAAATTTTATTTCCTCAAGAAGAAGCCAGGCCTTCAGAAGAAGGTTCCACATGGCTCCAGCGAACTAGATTTTTCAGGGAATAAAGATTTTCTACTGATAATTCAGCCTCCAACAAACGAGCTAGCGGCTGAACTTCAAGAATTTGAAAGAAACACACTATCCATCAGATGACAAGAAATCACCGCCGGATCACAAGAAATATGGGAAAACGAGAAAATACCTCTCCTCCAAGGGAAAAGAGTAACTCTTCTTCATCCACAAGCAGTTCGGTGAAAATCATGGAAATGTCTGATAAGGAATTTAGAGCATTCATAATGTCGAAGCTAACAGAGATGGAAGAGAAGAGAGATAATGAACTGCTAAAGAAAAAGGAGAAAGAAGTTGATGAGTTCCAGGAGATGAGGAAATTCTTGCAAGATCTAAAAGAGGAATTACACACTTTACAAAAGACTCAAACGGAACTGTTAGAGATGAAGTCTATAACACAGGAAGTCAAAATCTCCCTTGAAAGTATTAAAAGTAGACTAGATC